CTGATAATTATTTATATTAAACCCTATTAAAATAACTGAAGTGGCTCTGTCTCCTGTCTGGGCTGGGCCCTGACTGATAGTAGGGACTTGGCCTCATTCATTCGGTAAAAAGATGCAATCCCCTAAAATGTAGAATGACTACTTTTGCGTTGTCTAGGCCTGCTTCTTTCCTTGTAAAGTGGAGCAACTGGTGAATACATTTCATGTATTCAGTCATGAGACCGACCTTCTCCTCCTTTTGGGAACCGCGAGGTTGTATGATTATGATAAGGAAAACCTTCCTTGTTGGAAAGTTTTCTTTAATTATAGTCAACTAGCTCTGTTATGGCAGATAATACGATTGTCCAGGTATGTAACTCAGCCCCTCGCCCAATGCCCAATGTACTGGGGAGGGAGTCATTAAAGTGACTAAGTCAATAAAGTCACTAAATGATGAACGAACGAATGAATGAATGAATGAATGAATGAATGAATGAATGAACAGGAAGATGGATGATGGATTGACGGATGGATGGATAGATGGGTGGGTGAATGGGTGGAAAGATGACATTACCTGATCTCAAAAACATTTAATAGCAGGGGAAAAAAGCCTTTTTGAAGAAATGGTGTTACTTCATTTTTGAGTGTGTGAATTAGGATTAGATTAGGCTATGTGGGGGAAAAAAAAACTTAAATAACAGTGGCTTTTCAAAGGTGTTCGCTTTCCTCTCACATAAGCAAAGTCTTTGGACAGACACTCCAGGGCTGGCCTGGCACCCCCCACTGTTACAGGCTCCCTCCTTCCGTCTTCTTGCTCTTCCTACCAGTTTCATACTGTAGCTTTGACCTCCAGAAATCACGCAAGCACTTTGCCTGCATCTCATTCCGTTAGAACTCAGTCACATATTCCAGGTGGCCAAGTGCCGACCTGAAAAATGAGGTTCTATAACTAAGGAATAAGGGGGAGACGTGTGCTTGGTGCCAAATGGAAATCCCGTCATACAAAGGAATGAATAACACAAAGCTGAGGGTGCCTTCCCCAAGGAGGGAGCCTTGGAGGACCTCAAGTCCTGGAGGAGGAGTTTCAGGGCTGAAACTTCATCTTGGGACCTACCTCCACATTTCTAGATAACTATGGGAATCCCATTCTCTGAAATCATCCATTTTGCATACCACATACCGGCTTTCTCTTGCAGCAAGTGAGGAGCTTAGCTTTAGCTGCACCTCTCTCTTCACCTCCATCCTTCCACGGCAGTTATAACACAAGTTTTGGTAAGGTCTATATTTGGGCTTTTTATTGTTTATGACCGTGTAAATATCGTCCGCTGCCAAGTTAACAGTTGTTGCATTTTTCACTTGAATTTACAGCTAAAGTCTTCCCACCCCCACCAACCACTATAAAACAACTCTCAGTACAAGTTTCTACGCAGTCAACTCCGTTGGGATAATCTGTTTTCTTTTCCTCCAGCCGCTGGGCCCCCGTGGATATACCTGCTGTCTTAGGTCTCCAGCTTCCTGCTGCTACCTGGCCTGGCAGTGGTGGTGGTGGTTTCCCCAGTTCTGAGCTGAGCCCTTCCTCTCTCACAGCCTCTGATGCCTCCTTAGCCTCCCTCCTGCTCACGTTCTGTTGAATATCTGCTTCCAGATTCCGGATCCTCTTTCTTGGCCTACCTGCTCGTCTTAGCTGAGCACACCCTCCCTTAATTTGTTGACAAGCATGCAAGGAGGCAACATTTTTTTGAGACTTTGCATGTCTAAAAACACCTCCATTCTATACCCGTACAGATAAAAATTGAGTTTTAAAATTCCAGGTCAAAAATCATTTCCAATCAAAGTGATGACAGCTTTGTCCTGGGATCCTTTATGTTCACCGGGTTACTGTTGAGAAATCTGATGCCTTCCTGATTCTTGCACATTTGTGAGTGAGGTTCTCTGCAGTTATTAGCATCCTGCCTTGATCCCTAATATTCTGAAATTTTACAGGGAAATGTCTTGGGAGAGATTCTTTTTTTAATTCATTTTTTTTTCAGCACTGGTCTGGGACCATTATATTTGGGAAATTTCCCTGTTTATTTTGTGTGTGTGTGTGTGTGTGTGTGTGTGTGTGTGTGTTTAGTACTACCCTCCCCTTATTGTTGCTATTGTGCCTAGAACTCTTGTTAGGTGGATAGCTGGTGTCCTGGACTGATCCTCTCATTTTCCCATGTTTTATCTCCTATAATCCATCCTGTGTCTTTTTTTAGTTCTCTTTTCCATGAGATCTCTCTGATGTTAGCTTCCAACTCTCTTCACTGAAAAACATCAACTATCACTGTTTTAATTTCAAAAGCACTTTCTTGTTTGGATTTTTAAAAATAAGTGTATGGCATATTGTCTTATTTTTTTAAATGTACTATCTTATCTCCTGAGAGTATTATGGTCTTTTTTTTTTTTTGGTTCCTTTTTTACCTTTGTTTTGATCCATTTCTTTCTTATTGGAGTTTGTCCATTCCTGTTAAGACTCAGGTCTTTGAAAGTTGATTGGCAGCTCTTTGTAATGGGCATAATCATAGGGTAATTTTCACTGGTACCCTCAAATGCCTTTGGGGCAGTTCAGTTTTTCCAGAGGACCCTCCAGACTCCTGCCTCTTGGTTAAAACTTAGCGGTGCCACTGGATGTATACGTGTATTTCACTTAATCCCCATTTTCAACCTGGACTCTCAGCTCCACGATCCTTGTGCATGTTCTCCAAGTGTTCCCCGGCCTTCTGTCTTCTATAGAACTGCCCGTGGCCCCTCACTGTGTGGGGCCAGGATAGAATCTACCTCTTACCTCATGGCCTCCTTTTGAACCATCTCCTTCCATGGCGTCCAGCACGGGCACCTCCTGAGACCTTTAGGACTTGGCAGGAGGAAATTGTTTGCTCCTTGTTGATCGTTCTCCTTCAGTGGGCTCGTCAGCACAATCCTCCCCTGCTCCACTGAGGCGCTTACTCTTCCTCCATCCCGTTTCTGCCTTCCTATATAGTGGATGGGGGTGGGAGGGTTGCTGGCTTCTCCTAGTTTCACTGAGAAAGGAGTTTGCATAGGTTTTCTTGCTCTCCTTGCTATTTGAGGGCCAATTTTAAGAGGGACAGAAACATCTTCACTTCACCATTGTAGAACCACAAGTCTGCATTAAGTAGAGATTAAACCTATATTAAGCCCACATGATCTTTTAATCCTCTCAACTCTTAACATTACCATTAATAAAGCCTAAGTTGAAAGAGGTTAAGTTCTCGACCCAAGGTCAGTGTTGGAAAGTGGCTTAGAACCCAGGTCTGGCCAAAGAAAAAAAAAATCAATGTTTTTTTCTCTTACTCTCTCCTGCCTCCAAAAAGCCTGAGATCAAGAGAAAGTAGTAAGGTATGGTCCAGCCTGGGGTTCATACCTGGAGATACAATGTGAGGAAGCCCCTCAGGAAAGAAAAGTGCTCCTGAATTTGTCAGAATCCTAGGGGACTAATGTTTCTTAGAGTCCATGGAGAATCTAGATTGTTAGTCAAATAAAAAAAAAAAGATATACTAGAAACAGGGTCCGGCCTTAGGGGCAGGGGCTGAAGAACTTGGGGAGCATCCCAGACTTAGACCGTGGAGAAAGGAAGAGGGCCTGAGTCTTAAGAGAACTTAGAAGAGAAACTAATTTCCAGGTTCCCAGGAGAGGCCAGTGAGGCCAATGGCCTCATGATGTGAGGGCAGGAGAAAGGCTCTCGTGGGCACGGAGCCACAGCCTGTCCTGGAACATCAGGGATTTCCAGCCCCCAGCCTGTCACTGCTACCAGGATCGGACTCAGCCAGGGTAGGCAGTGAGCCGTCACATAACTAATCGGATCAGCAATAGAGCAACTTAGAACTGATAGTGTCGGTCTATCTTTTCTGTGCATAGCTCATTTTTTTTCCCCCAAGAGTAGGTCCTTACAGTAACCTGTTTAATTTGAACTTGTTGGAGTCTGCTGAAGGATGGCACGCGGGTGTCGCTTCCCGGACCACCCTGGTCAGTGATGGCTGGTGGGACCACCATGGGGAGAGCCACTCTGGCTTTGTCCCGGCTCTGGGCAGCTGCAGGGGTACAGGGGAGTTCAGTACATGCGCAGTCCCCACCGAGGTGACTCCTGTCCCCAGATTTGTGTTCTCTATGCATGTGGTCAGGAGGCTCCCAACGCCCTTAGTCAAGTCGCTGGTAAAAGCTAATCGAGATGGATGCATGAGCAGTGCCAGCTCATGTGGCTTGGAGGCTGGCCCGGAGCTGGGCACCAGCGCACCGTCCCTGCCCTGGGTCTACCACAGGCACACTTGCTTCCAGAATGGATTTCCAGGTCACGTTTCCCCATCTCGCGTGCAAGAGAGGCTTTTCCTGTAAAACAACCGCCTGAGGAGGGTGCTCTGCTCAGTCCGCTCCTAAGATGCATGAACCCAGAGGTTGAGAAGCGAGTGGGAGAGAGAGCAGCTCTCACAGGAGAGAGCAGCTCAGCCCTGGCGGTTATGGCCTCCCCCCACCCCCACCCTGGGGGCTCATATTTAGACAGCAGCGCCACAAGGGCTCCAGCCCGTGGTCTCCTGTCACGTCCTGGGTCAACGCTGTATGTCGTGTGTGGGGAAACGAGCAGTGAAGATGACACAAAGCGTGACAAAAATACACAGGCACATTCCGTTTCAAGCAGCTCACACTTTTATCATAAAATACAAACTTTCTAAAATTAAGCGTCTTACTTCTATTTTACCAACAACAACAGAAACAAAAATCACTCATGTCAGCTAAATACAGGTTCATATGTGGTCAAGTAGGGGGCGGGGGTACGGATGCGAGGGAGGCGTGTGTGTGGGGTGCGGGGTGTGTGACACAGGTGGTCAAGAGATGAGCCCAGTCTTGCCGTTTTCTGTCTGTGACCTGGTCGGAACTTTGGTTTTCCAAACCCCCGGCCACGCGATTACAGAACCCGGAGTTCCAGAGCCCTCAGCCCCGATCTGAGGGCTAAGGTAAGAGGAGGGAGGAGAGAAGATCATCTAAAAGTTTATGCCATTCCCACTGGAGGAAAAATAGGGGCTGTTCACCAGGGGCCCGCCAGCCGTCGAGCCGAACCTGGAAGAGAAAGAAGACGGACCTCATGACGGGACTCCTGGGGTTGGCGGAGATATTGGGAGAAGAAGTGTGTTGTCTTATGGCTGTCGGGGACCGGGAAGGCTGTGACAGGCTTGGAGGCTAAATGCTCAGCATCATTAAAAAAAAAAAAAAAAAAAAAAGCTTTGGCTCTGGGAAAATAAAATACTGCAAGGATACAACTGGAGGATAATTAAGAGCTTCCAGGGCCACTTCCTTAGATCCGGGAGGGCCTAGCGGGCTGCAGGGACTGCCTCCTTGGGCCCAGCGCTGTCCCCATCTCCAGGACCGCACAACAGGGGGCCTGTCTGCACCTGAGCACCTCGCCGGCCCTTCGACCTGCCCGGGAAGACCCGTGGGTCCCCCAGGGGGTCCCCAGCATCACGGGACTCAGAGTCGGGTCCCAGGGTGAGCCCCAGAGTCTGCATGGTCCCGGGGCTGCCTGTCCCCTTATGGGTGCCAAGCTGAACTTGGTTCCCTATTTTAGCACCTGAACCCAAGCACCCTGACCCCTGCCAGGCCCCCCAGGGAACACATTTGAGCGGCGCACCTTCCCGCAGGGAAAGATGACACCCCCTGGGCTCCAGGGCTGCTCACGCCCCAGGGGGGCCCCAACGGCGGCTCCCCGTGACCCGGCCTGACCTTGCCCCATGGTACCAGCTATTCGCACGGCCCTACAGGGATTTCGTCCTGTCCCATCTGCAGGGGAGCCAGGCTCTGTACACACCGCAGCAGGTTACCCGGCCACACGGAGTCTGACCCCAGGGTTCTCGGGCCTTCCTGCAGCTGGTGCACAGAGCAGGAGACAGTCTGAATTAATGAAAGAAAAAAGAAAAAAAGGGGGGGGGGAGAAAGGGCGGGGGAGGGAAGAAGCGATGGGAACAAACCGGCGCCCTAAGGGGCTGGGGCAAGCTGGGCTTCGGGTTAGTTTGATTCACTTTTCATTAAGTAAATCCCAAGAGAGCGGGGACGATAACCGCCCGTTGTGCAGCCCGGGACCTGGCACGAGGAGGGGCCTCTGCTGGCGCCCCCCTCCTCGCTCCCACCCCTTCCTCCCTCTGCCCCAAGCTCACACTCAAAGGGACTGATGGAGACTCAGGTCGGGCCAGGACGCCCCGGATTCTGTGCTGGTTTATGAAACAAAAACTGGAACCCGCACCTCAGCCTAATAACCATCGGTAATGAGTCACTGGGGACACGCCTGACTGCTGATGCCATGTCCCCATGCAGCCAGGCCACCCGGCGGGGGGGGGATGCTCTGGGGGGCTCACCTGCCTGGGGCCTGGTCTGCACACGACACTCGCCAGAGTGTCAGAGGGAGCCGGGGGTCCTGGGGGCGAGGGGCATCAGGGAGGGCTTCCTGGAGGAAGAGCACCAGCGCCCTGGCCTGGGGCATGGTTTCCGGCAGCAGCCTCCCCACTGGCGCTGCCTGTGCCACTAGGACCTGTGCTCCTTTCACCCTCGAGCTTGTTATGTGTGGGAGGTAACGTGCTAATGGATGGAGCAGGGAGGGGGGAAGATAAGTGGGAAGGGAGGGGGTACGGAGGGGGCAGGGGAGAGGCCAGGGAGGGAAGGGGACAGGAGGAGCAAGGGGGGAAGGAGGGGAGAGGAGGGATGGGAGAGGAGAAGGGGGAGGGAGGGGAGAGGAGGAGGGGGAGGGATGGGAGAGGAGGAGCTGGAGGGAGTGGGGGAGGAGGAGCTGGAGGGAGTGGGGGAGGAGGGAATAGGGGGGCAATACTCCTATGGGAGCAGGGGTAGGGGGTAGGGAGGGGTAGGGGGTAAGGAGGGGTAGGGGAGCCACCTCGTCCCTGGAACCCTGCTCCTCCAGCCGGCCTCTCCCCTGCCCGTCCCCCCGCCACGCCATCCCCGACGCCCTCGTCCCTCCAATGGCCTCCCGTGCTTCCCCCAGCCCTGCTCCCCCCACATCCTCCAGGAAATGTCTCCTCCTCTGCCCCCCCCCGTGCCCCGCCCCCCTACAGCAGCCAGTGTGGCCTGCGCCCCTGCCCGAGCCCCGCTCCTGGTGCAGACTCCGTGCAGGCCACCTCACCTCCACCCGGGGAAGTTTCACCAGCTCCCCAGGGCCTGACCCAATGCCTGGCCGTGTCCCCCAGGCCCTGCTGCCCCCGCCCCCAGCGGCCACTACCCCCCCCCCCCCCCCCCCCCCCCGGCGCACAGCGCCCCTATGTACACTGTCGCTTCATTCAGACCCGGCTCCGGAGGTGGCCCTCCCTCATTCTCCGTCCTCCCCCCTTCCTTTCCTGCTGCCTTATTGCTCCCAGTGAAGGAGACAAGGAAGGCCTTTTGCCTCGTTCCTTCCTTCCCTCCAGGAAGCGCTGCCCACGACCAGTCATGCTCTTGGGGGGACTCGGGCCTGCACCGCGCCCCTTCCCTGGCATCCCCAGCCCCTTCGGCCACCGCCCCCCCATGGCACCATCCTCCAGCGCCCAGTGCCTCCGCTGGCAGCCAGGGCCTGGGTGGGGACCCACCTCCCCTCCTTCCCCATGGTGGTGCTCGTCGTGCACCAGGCTGCAGGCCCCAGGCCTCCCAGTCAGAGCCTTTAACACCCAAACCCAACCTCCCTTTCTAATCCTATTTTCCACCTTTTTTAGGGGTAAATCAAATACTTCAAGCACGCACCTCTGCTGCCCCGGCCTCACGCTTGTGTCCGTCTGTGTGAGGGCTGCACCCCCTCCCCTCCTCCCATGGCTGCTCCCTGGGGCCTCGCAGGCCCACACACACACACACACACACACCCCGACAGCAGGTCATGCCACCACCCCGGGCCCCGGGATGCTCCCCACATCTCAGCCACTCAGTCTCTGAAGGGAGGAACCGCGTCCTCATCTGCTGTGGGTCCCCTGCAGGCTACATTCCCATCAACCACAGGACCCGACACAGAGCTTGGGGGGCAGGGGGTTCAGATGACATGCACCCTCGTCTGTGGTAGGAGAAGCAGAAAAGATGGGGAGGGAGGAAGGAGGGAGGAAAACGAGAAAAGGAGAAAGAAAATGGGCTGTGGATTTGGGGCTCAGGTGAGGCCACCGACCCCACGCCAGGAACATTTCCCAGGTACTTCAGCAATGAAGCTATCTGAGGGCCCCGACGGGTAAGAAACCCGTTCACCTGTGTTTCCCTCAGCTCTTCCCAAGCATCCTGACCACAGAAACCTCTCGCTAACGTGTCGTCCTTTTATAAAACACAGGACTGAGAGGGTGAGGGTCTGGGGCCACCCGGGGGGCACCACAGTGGGGGTCTGTGTGGGGACGTGGAAGGCTGGGGACCGACGGCCCTAATCCCGGCAGCGGAGTTTCCCAAGCTCAGACGTGGCTCCCCAGGGTGTGTGGGGACTGGGGTCCCCAGGGGGACCCCAGGCCCCACCCTCCTCCCAGCCTCAAATATGAGCTGAAGGTTTGCAGGTGCGAGTGGGTGACCGCCAGTCCTTTCATTTAGGACAACGGCCATCGTGGAAAGTGTGTGTCCAGGTTTGCATCACCTGCGAAGCCCTGCCCCCGCCGCCGGGCCTGCTACACCCTCTGCAGGACGTGGGGGCGACTGGCCTGCGAGGGAGCTCAGGGTCCCCCGCACCGTGGGGAGCCCAGCAAACGGGCCTCGGCAGATGGGTCCTGCTCCACTGCTGGCCCCGCTGCAGGCCGAGTGCCCACGTCCACGGCCGCATGGCTAGGATCCCGTGGGCCTGCGGCCCTGAGCAGCCTGACCTGCGCACCAGCTCCCTCCAGCGCCCACAGGGCCGGGGACAGGCCAGGGCCCCTCCCTCCCCAGGACTCCTGCAATGCGAGAACCAGCTCCCCCCCGGGGTCCTGCAGCTTCCAGCGAACAAGGTGCGCCCGAGGAGGGGGCTGAGGACTCACCCGTACGCCTGGGAGACCACGTACTGTGGCCCGTCTCCCGCCATCGGGGAAGGGTCGCGGGGATGGCTGCACAGCTTTGGAGGTGTCCTCTGAGGGTGCGGGTAGCCGGGCTGGATGAAGGGGATGTAGCTCAGCAGGGGGGCGTAGGAAGAGCGGAACACCTGCTGTCCCACCTGCTGTGGGCTGTACGGCGTCACCTGCAGGTCACAGACGAGAGGGGCCACGTCCACCAGAGCCTGCTGCTTCCGAACCTCCAGGGCCTCGCTCGGACCCCAACCTTAACCCCGGTGCGGCGGGCATGTGGGAGGCCCCGCGAGGACTGTGGCAAAGCCTGAGCCTCCCCCCTGCGCCTGGCTGCCAAAGTGCCCAGGTCACCCAGGCCTCAGTTTCCCCGTTGGCAGGAGGGCGAACGCTCCCTCCGCGGCATGGACACCGAGTCAGCTGACAGCAGCCTGATGAACAGCAAATGGACTTTATTTCTGTTCTCTGCGCTGCCCTCCCCACCCCATCCCCTGCCAATAGCTGCCCCTGAGAGCCCTCGTTCATTTTTAGCTAAAAAAAAAAAAAAAAGGCCTGTTGAGATTTCTACGGCCCCGGCTTCAACCTGGGGCGTCTGGGACAGGGTGGCTCCGCGGGGACGTCGGCACCCAGCCCCCTGGTACGTGGGCCACCACCCGCCCGCGGCAACTTGCAGCCACTTGAGCTGCGCCTGCCTCGAAGGGTGAGGAGCTGAAGCTGCACGCTCACTGTAACCGGTGTGGGTTGAGGTGGCCGCCCGGGGCCGGTGGCAGCGTCATGCAGCGGGATCCAGGCTCCGTAGAGCTCAGCACCCCCCACCCCCGGATCCAACCTCCACCAAGAGCCAGGGCCCCGACGGTCTCATCAAGCGTCGTCTTCTCGGCCCTGTGACGGGGCCTGGCCCACAGCAGCTGCTCCATAAACATGCGTTAAATGAAGGAGCGCAAGACAAAAAAGAGGGGAGAGGGCAAAGAAGAGGCCACTCGGGGTCCGCTTGAATCCCTGCAATGATGGGGAGCTCATTACATTGCAGGCACTGTATTCTACAAACGTCAGAAGACCCTCTCCTGTACGGGGTGACGTCCGTCCTCCTGCACGCTGAAGGGAGCTGCAATCAAAGCGAGGGAAACTTTTGGACGTCGTCTTTAAAAGCAAGAGTCCAGCGTCCAAGCCGCCCGGGGACCCAACACAGCGACAGCCCTCTCTCACCCTGCGGATCCTTCTCTAATTAAAACAAAACAAAAAAAAAAATGGATCGCAAAGGCTGGGACTTCCAGAGGGCTCAGGCCGTGCCAGGCCCGTGCGGCTTCTCTCCTTCCAGCCCCGGAGCTTGGGCGGCAGGAGCACGAGCCAGAGACGGAGGAGGCGGCTCAGGAGCTCGGACCTTGCAGGTAAACGCTCCACGGGCTCCACTGGCGTGACTTCCTAAGGCCCACGCGGGCCCGGGGCCTGTGCGCTTGCTCCCCCTGAGCCCCCTCCTACCCCAGGCTGCAGGTAGGACTCGCGGATGCTGGACGTGGGCCCCCAAACGCCCAAGATGATGCAGGGACCGTGACAAAGAGCCAAGAACTCAGAGAGAGAGGCCAGGACGGCCCCCCCCCCGGGACGGGTGCCTTGGCGGACGCACAGGGAGGCCCCCCCGGGTCTCCTGGGAGGTGGGACGGTCCAAGGCCCACGCAGGGGGATGCCCGGGGGCTCCCGCGGGCCTCCTAGGGGACGTGTCCCCAACCGCACACGACGGGTGAACCCCGTGACGCAGCGTGCATGGCTCTGGAATCGTCTCCAGGATGCGCTTCGCCGGCAACGGCAGTGACAGAGCCGCGTGCCCAGAAAGCCACATTCGTGTAAAGTGTGTGTAGATAGATTCGGCCGGAAGGACCCTGTGGGAACCGGCGATGGGGCTGCCTCTCCGGGGTGGTTTGTCTCTGTTTGGAACCAAGGGCCTCCAGCACTTTCTCAGACAGACGCGGGCACCTGCGTGGGGCCATCGGCCCCGCTCCCCGAGCCGGGGTCACTCTCTGTGGGCCGGGTAGGGGTGCCCACTGAGGCTCCCCGGGCCAGGCTGGGCCTCAGCTCCGCGCTCCCGGACAGCTCCGCACTCCCCGAGGACGCAGAGCCCCCACTGCGACACGAGCAGCCCCGGGCCTCCGGGCTCTTCTCTGCTTTCTGGAACATTCCAACACAGCTCAGGTCAGAGGTGCGGTTTGCTCCCTGCCGGGCAGGAGGAGGCCCCCAGACGGTGAGTCTGAGTGTGGGGGTCCGTCCATCTGCGGTGGAGCCACGCTGGCTGGGGCCCCGCAGCCGGACCCGAGGCCGCCCCCCATCCTGCAGTTTCCGAGCTGGAGTCCACTCCTAGATGTGGGGGGGGGGGGCGCCCGGCTGAGCAGCCCACAGACAAGACGTGCGTGCGATCAAGTCTCAGTTGCAGATGAACCAGCCAGTAATTTGATTTTTACTGCGCTTCCGGCCTGGGCGCTGCTTGGGGCCCACATGCACCGGGACTGCCTCTGCGGCCTGCCTGTGACTTCGGTATATCCAGACGGCTTGTATTTGAACAACACGCTGACGGGAAAGGGGGTGACTGCAGCCGACCGCAGCTGGGCCACACCGTGCGGCTTTCCTGGGCCACGGAAGGCGGGTGCGGGTTGCCAGGCGCTAGCCCCAAGCCCAGACCCCAGCAGCAGGGCGTCTGCTCCACCACCACCCCCACCCACACTCCTGTCTACACGGCAGGAGCAACAGCTGCCGTGGGTCCAGCAAGCTCCCCGAGGGGGGACACATGACACAGCCTCGAACCCAATCCCAGCCCAGCGCAACCAGCCCAGGGAGCTGTGGCTGAAAACCTCTCATTTATTGTTGGAAGTCCCTGAGACGCCGAGGCCGCCGATGGCCACCGCACAAGCTGGCTCCTACGGTGACTCGGTGGCCCTGACAAGGCCTCCGTCTCCCTAGGCCCTGTGCCGTGAGCGCCTAGCCGCCCCCTAAGGGGGGCTGGGACGTTCGCGTGGGTGGAGCCCCGACACGGGTGGGCACCCGGGGGGGGGCTCCGAGGGGCAGCCCCGAGCCCCAGGGACGCCATCGATGGGGGGCCCAGGGCAGGCGGCGAGCACAGAGAGTGGCCCGCGGGCCCGTAGCAGGACACAGTGTCCTCTGGGCGCAAGGCCATGTGGAGCCGGGCAGGGCTGGGGACGCGGCCTACTCACCTGCTGGGAGGAGCAGCCCAGCGGGGGCTGCAGGGGCTGCTGACAGGGCATCCTGGCTGCGCGCGGCGGGTACAGGCCCTGCGGAGAGAGGCGCGCTCAGCACGGCCGGCCCCACGCTGCTCCAGGGCCCGTGGCCGGGGCAGGGGGGCGGCCGCACGATGGGCAAGCACGGCCCGGGCCCCCGAGGCCCGCGGAGCAGCTCCCCCAGCCACCGGGCGGAGCCTTCTCTGTGCCCCCCACCTCGAGAGTCCCAGCTCTGCCCTCTGGGCGGCCCGTCACCTCAGGAAGGCCCCCTCGCATCTCTGCGCCTCTCTCCCCGCGGCTACAGATTTACCTGCGTCCCCACCGTGAGGCCCGCGAAGGGGCAAGTTCTCTCGGCCGCTGCCTAGACCTAAGGGCCTTGCCCCAAACTCCATCCTTGGGCATCACGTGGGCATCAATGCACGTCTGTGTGTGTGCACGGGAGTGTGGGTCGCCATCCACGTGCTTGTAAGCACGTCGGCCCGAGCGCTCCCAGGTGTCCGCGGCTCCCTGTCCTCGTGTGCGCACCCACTCCAGGCTGTACCCGCAGCTCCGTGTCCAGGTGTGCACACCCACCCCAGCTGCACCCGCGTCTCCGTGTCCAGGTGTGTGCACCCACCCCGACTGTACCCGCGGCTCCATGTCCAGGCGTGCACACCCACCCTGGGCTGTACCTCCTGACAAGCCCAGGCAGGAAGGTAGAGGAGTCCGCGTGTCCCCAGGGCCCCAAGCAGCGCCTGGCGTGGAGTCAGGATCCTGCTAATGATCCCGCTGCTCCCCCACTCTAGGCACCGGCTGCCGCGCAGCCAAATGGGAAGTTGCACTTCTGGTCAGCGCTCCTTGGCGCTGCAGACTTAGTCTTCCGTGGCTCCGCATCACTCCACAGGGGAGCTCTGAGTAAATTGGATTTGGGCCCTCATCTTTATTCCTGATGCCACGCACGAAAAGGGGCGAGGAGGGACTGCTCTCTGTTTCTCCTCTCTGTCTGCTCAAGGTCTGCAGAGCTCCCTGACCCCGTTTCCTAGGAAGATCAGGGTTGAATGATAATAAAAACCAACGTCTGCATCCTACTTTAGGTTTCTCAAAGGCCTTTCTCACCCACGGACTCCATTAGCCTTACAGCCGAGTCAGGTAGAGGCGGCTGCTGATTGTTATGAGCCCATTTCACAGGTGAGGAAACCAGGGCTTGGGGCATTTAGCGGACTTCGGCTTGCCCACGGCCACACAGCTTGAAAACAGTGGATTTCTGTAAGGTCAGGTCTGCCAATTCCAAAACCTGCCTTCTTCTTATTGTGTCAGGCCTCCCGATGAGCTATCCCGAAGCTGGATGATGAAATCACTAGACGCTGAGAGGAGGTAAACTACCCTGGTCTCCATCACAGCCCGGGAGGCGTCAGGGGGCAGCCTTTGTGCCCAGATACGTTGGAGCCTCACTCCCTCTGCAAAGCCAAGTCACAAGCAGTGGACGGAGCCATCGTGAACGGCTTCACACGCTGAGCCCCGAGCACAACAAGAGTGGATCGGTTCACACTGCACAAAATCCTATGCTCGCTTCTCTTCCAGAGGTGGGGTGCACGCAGCGCCCGGCTCTGATCTGCACCCAACGTGTGCCAGGCGCTGAGCGTCCTCCCTGAACGCCCTCACCTGGCCAGTGCCCGGCCTGTGGTCAGGGCGGAGCCAAGGTTCTTAAAATTGCTTAAGCGAATGAGTCAAAATGTGCATAAGAAGAAGGGAACGTGGCAGCGGCGAGGAGGTGAATAAAGGACCGAAGAGCAAAGGGGCAGATGCAGAAACGCAGGAGCAAGGAGTGCGAGAGGAGAGGGCGGCGGATGGACGAGGGCACTTCTCTGAGGACCCGGGTAAGGGCGGGACAGATTCCGGACGGACGCGCTCTGGCCTCCCCGTCCGTCCGTCCGTCCGTCGTCGGGCTTCCTTACAGCCCCACAGGGAGGCTTTCTGTCCTGCAGGAGGTGAGGGAGGGCGCTCATCCTTTTTAGCAAACAAACAAAAAGGCTTGGAACAAAACATGAGAGGGAAAGGGAGGGAGGCTCTGCTTAACTCCCTTAGCTTCTGTTTATGCTCCCGGATGGCTAAGTCTGGTGGATCAGCTCAGAGAGGCTCTGTATGGGGTCGAGAAGATCCACCCTCTGCGCACGGGGCTTCTGGGCCGCAGGCTTTGCCGCCTGGTTGTAGAAGAGGAGGTGACCCAGGGTCCCCAGAACAGCGGCAAGGGCAGGAGCACAGAGGAGCGACTACGGATTGCAGGTGTATTGTCCTCTCCAGGCCTTGCCGGGCCAGCCGGGCAGCAGGCTCCCGAGGACCCGGCTGTACAGGTTGGGGTGTCCGGCCCGCACACCTGTGTGCCATTCTGGAGAGGAGCCGGGGCAGAGGCCAGGGGACCTCAGATGCTGAGCCCCCCCTCTCCTGGAGAAACAGAACACCACCCGAAGGGCCTGCTGAAGCCGTTGAGTTGGACTAAGGCTTAAACCAGAGTGGACGTTGATTTGATTTTTTCCCCTCCTTCCGCCCAGCAGGAGGCAGCTCGTAAGGGAGACCGACTTTAAATAGACAAACTAAAGAAACTGCATGTTTTCCTGCATAAGGAAGCTCCGTGAGTAGAATTTCCAGCCCTGCTACTCGTGTTTCACCGTCCCTTTGTGTCTGGTCACGGATGCCCCCGGAGCATAGAGCCCAAGGCTGAGAATGTGCACTGAGACCAGCTAAGGCTCCTCAGATGCTATTACATCTGAAATAAGGTGGCCACGTAGTTTGGCATCCGCACCAGGACGCTGGACGGTGAAAAGGGGGGTGCTTTTGATAATTATGCTGGGATAAAAACTAAACTGGGACTGTCCTGACTGCTCTAGGACACACATCATCCAACTCTAAAGGAAGTCCTAGCAGGTGGATCAGAAATGAGGACAAGGCCATCAGCCTACGTTGGGAGCCCAAGGACCAGCTGTTGCCCTGCGCCAGGAGTCCAAGGAGCAGACACCACCCTGTGCTGGGAGCCCAGGGAGCCCAAGGGCCAGCCATCACCCTGTGCCGGGGGCCCAAGACCAGCCATTGCCCTGTACCAGGAGCTCAAACAAGCCATCACCCTGTGCCAGGAGCCCAGGGAGCCTAAGGGCCAGCCATCAACCTGTGCCAGGAGCCCAAAGAGCAGCCATCGCCCTGTGCTGGGAGCCCAGGGAGCCCAAAGACCACCATTACCCTGTTCCTGGAGCCTAAGCAGCCCAAGAACCAGCCCTTGCTCTGTTCCTGGAGCCCAAGGACCACCCATCACCCTATGCCAGGAGCCCAAGGAGCAGCCATTACCCTGTGCCAGGAGCCCAAGCAGCCCAAGAACCAGCCCTTGCTCTGTTCCTAGAGCCCAAGGACCACCCATCACCCTGTTCCCGGAGCCCAAGGACCAGCCTTCACCCTGTGCCAGGAACCCAAGGAGCCCAAGAACCACCATCACCCTGTTCCCGGAGCCCAAGGACCAGCCATTGCCCTGTGCCAGGAGCCCAAGGAACAGCCATCACCCCATACCGGGACCCCAAGGAGCAGCCATCACTCTGTGCCAGGAGCCCAGGGAGCCCAAGAACCACCATCACCCTGTTCCTGGAGCCCAAGGACCACCCGTCACCCCAGAGCCCAAGGACCAGCATTGCCCTGTGCTGGGACCCCAAGGAGCAGCCATTGCCCTGTGCTGGGAGCCCAGGGAGCCCAAGGACCACCATCACCCTGTTCCTGGAGCCCAAGGACCACCCATCACCGGAGCCCAAGGACCAGCCATCGCCCTGTGCCAGGAGCAGATCTGGAATACACAGCACAGTTGAGCTGGCTTTCAGACAACGGAAAATTCAAGAGTGCGTGTGTGTGCGTGCCCACGTGCCCGTGTGTAAAGCACGTAGCTGATCTGACGTGGCCACAGTGAGGAAAACAGGCAGTCTGAGCCTCTTTGTGATTTCAGCGCCCTGCAGGGCACACTCCTGGGTGGCTGGGAGCTGGGAGCTGGGATCCAGGCCCGGGACCCACTCGCTCACCTGATACTGTGGGAAGGTGGAGTGATTTGTGAACACGGGCGGAGGCGGGTAGCTCAGGTTGAGCCAGAGTGGCTGGTTCAGGGTGGCCGAGGTCAGGGCCGTGGCAAAGCGTGGGGTGAAAACGTTCCCTGTATACTTGAGGTTGCTCTTGTCGGCCATGGTCCCCGGCGGGTTAACTGTGAGTCACAGAAGGGGTGGAATGTTTCAGGGACTGCGGAAGGGAGAGGCCAGCACCCCCCCCCCCCCGCCCCCTGCGCCGTGACTACCCCGGGATTCATGTTCTCAGATGTCAGGTCTTTGAGCTCCAAAAGGGTTCTTCAAAGTTTGGGTGGCTTTCTAACTACGGGAAAACATCGTTAGCACACACCTGGCCAATTGGGAAGAGGTGCGAGTCCCTGCGTGGCCTGGCTGGGAGCACTTTCTCCATCCCTCACTAGGACAGGAGGCGGCTTAGCAAGGGACAACCATAAACCAGGTGGCCAGGGCCACAGCTGACCTACGTGGAAAACCAGATTCTTCTCTGTGCTTTACGAAAATCCAGTTCTTTAGCAATAACTGCTGTGCCTTTGGGATCCGCTCCTACCAAATTATTAAAGCACCCCCTGCGGACATTTACACGGCAACACTGAGGCTCTTGCACCGGCTAGTGTATATATATATATATATATTTTTTTTTTTTATCTTAAACATTATATAATTGACACAACGTGACCCCCACATTAGTCTGAATGAAGGTTTGGCTGAGTTGTCCTGGGAGATGAATCCTAGATGCTCTCCCCATGTAGTACACCCCGTGGGCTCACGGAGTCAGAGATGGGACCTCAATTTCCCCTTTTTTTGGGGGTGGTGGGGGAAGGACGTTTGAATGGAACACTCGTAAGGAGAGAAAGCAGGGCCGTTGAATCATATTAGGGTAGAAGTCATGTGAAGCGTGGATTTCCCTGTTGTTCGAGCAATCTGGGGCGCTGCCGTGGACCTGGCTCAGGGCCGTACTCAAGCTGACCGCCGAGGATGCCCATGGGGCCCCGAAAGCCACCTGCATCTCTCTAGCACTTGCATTCCTGATACAGGACGTGGGATAAGGTCATTTCCCCGATTTCGTGAGTCGGAGGATGTCACCGGGGAAACCCCGTGAGCTGCCCGTGGCTGAGGCAGCCGTTTGGAGGCAAAGCCATCACAGGCCCGTGAGAGTTTCTGGAATCCCTTCCCCTACAGACTCTCCCCTTGGGCAGGGTCAGCTTACCTTTCAGCTCCAGTCCTTCCACCTCCACTTTGCTGTGAAGCTTTAGCGGCCCGCTTGGGTTCTTGGCGACCCCAAGAAACTCATAGAGCAGGTTCTTCTCGGCAGGCCACGTGGACTTCTTGGCCGGCAGGGCCACGGACACGGAGCCCCCGGGGTCACTGCAGCCCTCCTTGCCGCAGGTGTCCTTCCGGGTCTGGGGCCACTGACTGAGAAAGAGGCTCTCTCGTCCCTTTGTCGGCTCCTTGGTGCCAGGGTTCCATTCTACATCAGGGGGAAACTGAGTCAACGACTCCGGGAGGCCACGTGCTAAATGTGGGGAGCACTTTCTTGTAGACAAAGTGATAGGTCCTCCCTGGAACACGCCTGGGGCTCCAACCACTCTGGGGTCTCCCTCCCAGTCCAAGCCAGGCCTAGTGTCCTCGCTGAAGCTCTTTGCAGACCACTGCCCATTGCAGTCTTCCCCTCCCACCCACGTGAACCCACTCACCCACCCATCCACCCATCATACCTGGACCCACCACTCATCCATTGTATCTGGACCCACCCACCTGTCCATCGTACCTGGACCCATGACCCATCCATCATACCTGGACCCATGACCCATCCATCATACCTGGACCCACCCATCTATCCATCCATCCATCCATCATACCTGGACCCACCACTCATCCATTGTACCTGGACCCACCCACATGTCCATCGTACCTGGACCCATGACCCATCCATCATACCTGGACCCACAACCCATCCATCATACCTGGACCCACTACCCATCCATCATACCTGGACCCACCCACCTGTCCATCGTACCTGGACCCATGACCCATCCATCATACCTGGACCCACCCATCCATATCCCCCCATCCATCCACCCATCCTCCCTTCCTTCCATCCAAACTTCTTTCCTCCCAATTACCTTTGTTTTCGTCTCTCTTCCTTCCTTCCCTCTTCCTCCTTCCCCTTTGCCCTGCTTTCTTTCCTTGCTACCTTTCCCCCTGTCCATCCACAGGGCCAAGCTTGGGAATGCAGAGCTGCCTCCAGGGCACCCCTCCCCGCTCCTCCGTGGGGGGACCTGTGCACCTATAGAGCATGTGGCCTCACTGAGGTCCGGCCCCGCACCACGGACACGACTCCTGCTTCGTCGCTTATGGGGGATCCAGCCCGGTCGCCAGTGCCAGGCCCTGACCTGAGTCCTGAGGACACTGTGATGAGTCAGAGCCAGACTCAGCCCTGCAGGAGCTCACAACAAGAAGGGAGAGAGAGACAGACCCAGAAATAGCTCCAGGACAAGGCAGATGGGGACCGCGAGGTGACAGAGGGACACAGTGGGAGAAGACGGTGGCTGGGGCGGCTTCTATCTGAGAGGGTCAGAGCGTTTCCAGAAGGAAGTGGGCCTACAGTGAGGCCCTATATCCAGGAGTACGGGGAGACGGCGCAGGGGCGCTGGCGTCGCAGGCACAGCGAGGGCCTGTGCTCACGGTGAGCGTGGTTGGGCCAGGCCCGGGGCTCTCTCCAGACAGATGGAGTGGCCCCGGGTGCGAGGGCACCACCTGGACCCCCCAGAGCCCCCTTCAGCCGTGGTTTTTTACCTTGATTTCCCTTTGAGCAAAGGGACTCATTCTTCAAACTGAATGAACTATGGGCAGGATCGCATTCATGTGGGTCTGTTTCGAGGAAGGACCCCTCGCCCCCTCTCAGCCTGGAGGCTTTGCAGGTGTCCCCGGGCCTTAGCTGGGAAGTGCCCTGGGTCACTCCGTGGCGGCTGGACCCTGCTGGGCGTGGGTCTGCTCCCACCCGCTGTTGCCCCAGTGAAGTCCAGGGGTCCCACCGCTGGGTCTGGACGGGCCTGGGCCGGGCCTCCTCATACCAGCAGCACAGGACCGACTGCACCAGCGCCCGCCAGTTCAGACGACAACGACATTTTTAGCAAAACATGTCCCGAGAGTCTCTTGCAAGAGCGTCTCTGGTTGCTGAGTTTAGCCCGCGGCCGGGGCGCTGGAACGACGGTGGCCGCTAATTATAGCCCTTCCCCTGGGACCCACACACCTGCAGGCGCTCGCACACCTCCTGCCGCCTGGAACACTCCTGCCACTCACGCACCCCAAAGCTCCCTTTCCTGGCGCCCGTGACGCAGACGGACACACAGACACGCGCATGCGCTCCCGCCTGTCGCTGCCCCGCCTCACGGGACAGACACCCCCACACCCACATTGCCTCTTACAAACACTCACACCTGGAAAGCTCCCTTGGCCACACGTCTACGCAGACACACACACGGGGTGGGACGGGGGGATGAGGCCACCTCCAGCCCAGCAGCCCCCCCACCCTGCCCCGTCGGAGAGCTATCCGTGCATCCTTCCTGGAGGAGGTGGCGGGAACGTCCCTCGTGGGCACAGCTCCCAAGAGCCCGCTGGGTGCCAGAAGCCATCCCGGGACCTGGAGTCGGGCCAGCGTCCCCGAGCTCTGACGCCTCGGCCTCCCCACCAGGTTCAGCCGTCCCCTCAAGGTCATGGGTCGGGCCCTCCCCACCCGGCGCTGCATCATCTGTCCACGCTCCTCCATCCGTCTGCCCTGGGGCCGTCCAGTCTGAGCGGCTGGGTCAGGACGGGTGCCCAACACGCGGAGCCTAGGAGTGGGGTTCCTGGGGCACCCTGGGGTGGGGTGTGGGCTCTCGGGAGCCCCAGGGAGCCCATCCTGGGCTGCACGCCAGGGCCTGGCACCTTCACCCCCAGAGCCCGGACGGAGGACGCGTCCCCTGTCCAAGCGTATGGGGCTCAAGGCCCCTGTGTTTGCTCCCCAGGCTGCCCCCCCCCGGCACCCATCACGGGGCCAGCGCTCCCCTCGGCATGCAGACGCTGTGCACCTGTGCTGCCCCGACCGGCTGTCCGCCGGTGCCTCCCCACGGGCCTCACTCACCCACGAGCGGATGCCCCTCTGTGGCCACGTCAGCCTCGGGCTGGGAGCAGATCTTGGCAAACACCGGGAGCTGCCTCTTCTGAGTGGGGAGCTCGGGGAGCTTGTCAGGGGGCGCGGACGACGGGGGGGCCGGCGGGGGGGCCGGCGGAAGCAGCAGGAGCGGGCCGAGTGCCAGGGCATCCCTGGGCCCCGGGTCGCCGAGCGTGCCGTTCTGCAGGAAGCCCTCCTTGATGGCCCTCGTGTGCTCCTGCACCGCCCCGGTGTCGGGGGCCTGGCTGGCAGCCGACGGCTTCAGCGGGAGCTGCACCAGGAGCCTGCCGACCTCCGAGTTGGGGGCCCCCGGCGTGCGGCCCCCAGCGTCCGCCCCCTTGACGCTCTTGACCTTGGCAGCGCGCAGAATGCCCGTCACCGTGGACACAACCGAGTCACAGTCCGGCCGGCCGCTGAGGACAGACACGGCCACCTTTGGCTCCCGGAGCGTGTCGCCAGCCGCAATGGGGGCTCCCGGGCCCTCGGTGCTGCCTGTCCCCCGGGGAGGCACGGGCAGGCAGGGAGCCAGCCGTCGGGGCCCCGTGGGCGGCGGGCTCTCTGTGACGAGGATGAGGTGCTCCTGGGTCAGGCTCAAGAACTCCTGCTCCACCAACAGGGAGATCTCGTCTTTGCCATGGCAGGGCTCCGGGGCTCTGCAAACAGGTCAGAGAGGGGCGGCTGGAGCGCAGGCTCACTGTGGTGGCTCCCCGGTGGGGCCCGGGCCCCCAGAAGGTGACGGGGAAGGCACATCGCCACCCGGGGACAGAGGCCTAGTGCTTTCTCGGGGAGGAGCCAGCCGGGCAGTGGGTTCCCAAGGCCCGCAAACGCCAAGCCCGCCCTGGGAGCCCCGATCCAGGAAGCAGGACTTCAGGGTCCCCCCCAGGGAGCCTTCCTTTCAGCTCACCCCCCCACCACCATGTGGAAGGGCAGCCCCACAGGGGTCAGGAGGGAGCCTGCAGCTCTGAGCACGGAGGCCGAGTCCGGGGAGCCCCAGGCCCACGGCCGAGGCTGGGAGACTCGGGGAGAGACCCACACGCTCCTGGGCAGGCGCCTGTCTCCTCATCCGCTTAACGGCAATAGCGCAGGTGCATGCGCGCCCAGCACGTGGGGCGGGGTCAGCACGGAGTCAAAGATCCCAGGTGTCTACACCTGTGTCAGCCGGGCTGCAGCCTGGAGTTTGCATCGTGGCCCCGCCCCTGCCCAGTGCGGCCCCTGACCAGACCTCGGCCTCTGGCGGAGCCCCAGCATCTCCCCGGCCCACGGTCAGCTTCCACCTGTACCCCAAGCCCCAGGCCCCCGTTGGACCCCTGATGGTCAACACCAGCCTGGTGGGGCTGTTGGACCCATAAAGCCCGGGCTTCTGCTGCCCTGCTCCCGCTAGGTGTGGGAGAGGAAGGCAGCCCTGCTGGCCTGGCCCAGGGCCCAGCTGCCCCACGGGTGGCATTGGCAAGGGGCGCCTTCAGCCCGGCACTGCCACGAGGACCTGGCCCCATCCTCTCTGCTGTCCGTGTAGACGAGGTGGTCTACAAGGAGCCTTCTGGAAGCTGCTCCATGCCCCCCCCCGGGGGGGGGCACCAAGGCCCATGGAGAAGGGGCTGGGCGAGAATTGAGGTGCCCATGGGGAGGCCCAGGGTGCACTCCCACCTTGGTCCTTCCCCATGCCGCCCCCCGTGTGGAAGCCCACACCCGCCCCCCCACCCGCGCACAGGAACAAGCGTGCACACGTGGGGGTGGGTCTGGGGCCATCCCAGATGCGGGGAGAAGGCACAGGCCCCGCCCCAGGGGCTTCCAGCGGCACCGGGCTCCCCCCAGCTGCGGGGTCCTCAGAGGCCCGGGGTCCTGGGAAAGCAGCTGGGAGGCCAGGGCTTCCGGGAAACACGGGGACAGGCCTGGCACTGGCCTCACGCCTAAGCCACCCACGCCCCCTCATCGCCGGCCCCGCGTTGTAGCCACAGGGTCGGGAAGAAGCAGACCCCAGCCAACCGGACCAGGGCCCCGGGGCCCCAGCACCCACTTCGTGTCTTGGCCTCCCCGGCCACGGGAAGGCACTGGAAGTGCCGTGTGACCCGGTGTGAGGCTGCGGGGAGGCTCCCCAGGGGTGCCTCTCCTCTTGCCTCCCCTGCTCCCGGCCCTCTCCATCCCATGTCTAGACGGCAGCTATAAATAGGACCCACTCTCACGCGCTGTCCCTGCCGACAGTCAGAATAAAGGGAAGCCCCCCCTTGTCACTCGTCCTCCTCCTCCTCCAAGGGAGCAGGTGAGGCTCAGGCCACAGACGCCGGCGCGGGAAGCACCAGGTTTGGACTCGGCCCTCTACAAAAACACGTGCAAAGCGAACCATGTACCGATAGTTTTTTTTTGTTTGTTTTTTTTTTTTTTTAGGGAGACCCACTACAATTACATCTACCTCAGGACATCGTGGTCGCGGTATTGTGGTTTATACGCAGATAACAGCTACAGCAAGATGAGTCCTTATCTCTTGGACGTACATCCGAGTGTGCCTGAGAGTTGCTGCAGGGGGAAGACGTGGGGCGCGGATGGGGCAACAGGCCGGACGCCGACCACCACTGGGACTGCGTGTTGGCAAGTACGTGGGCTCATTGCCGACAGTTCGCTCTACTTCAGGCTATGGTTTTGCATTTTTTTTTGGTTTTGCATTTTTTTGTGTGTGTTTGTTTTGTTGTTTTTTTTAAATACAGACGTTACACGGTAGCTGCGCACGGAAACCGTGTCGCCGCGGAAACTGCAAGGACAGGTCCAGGTAGATTCTAAAAGACCCTCAGGACCCCGGGGTCCCTGTATCCAAAACCATCCACAGGCGGTTCCTTGTCAGCGTGGGAGACCGTCCAACCCCATCCCCGACCCGGGGTGCAGCAGACACTGAGCGGGAATCCCTGTTCTTACTGCTCTGGACGCATCCCTGCGTCCCAGAGACTGCCGTCCCCAGAGAGGTAGGTGAAGCAGCAAGGACAGAGGGTCCCAGGGGCCCAGGGCGCCTGGCCCTCCCTCCGGCCAGCCTCTGCAGCCCCCTCTTGCCCTTGCATCGCTCACAAATGCAAGAGGAAGAGTCTAGGCACCCCCACACACGCCGGCCCCTCATCCTCTCCACACCTCCGGGCAGTGGACGCCCTCATCCCCAGGTACAGGCGGGCAACACGAGCCTGGAGGAGGCCCGAGAGCCTGCCCCCTAGAGAGCGGGGGGGGGGGGGGAGGCGGGGGGGGGGAGGCGGGTGGGCCCAGCTGCCTTCACCACCTCCTCGGACCCCACCCGGCTTCCTTTCCAGGACTAACCGCTCCCTGGCCCCTGGCTGGGCTCCGTTCTGCAATTTGAATGCAGGCAGGGCCGTTGCTAGCCCCATCCCATCACCCCATCCTATCACCCCAGGCTCTGGAGGCCCGTCCCGGTGAATCCCGAGCCGTCATCCGCAGCATCAGCTCCACATCGGCTGCACATCCCATGAGTGCATCTTCTGGATCATCCTCCAATTTACGGACAGAAATGTTGAAAGGAACGAGCCCAGGCCCGAGCTTTGGAGATGCTGCCAGAGCCTCCCCCGCAAACACCACACACACACACACACACACACACACACACACACACACACACACGGGGTCGGCCTGGCCGTCATCCTACATCCACGGTCCGGGGAATGAATCAGTCCGGTGGCTATCAGCCCACGCCCTCTTCTCCAACGACAGCCTCCATCAAGCACCTCGCCACGGTCAAGACTCCTTGCCCGGGGGTCCCTCATCAAGGGTGTCCCTACCTGCCTGCCACCACCCCACCCGCCAGACAACCAGATTCCTTTGTCCTTGTCTGTTCTAGAGAACCACACGCCTGCAGAGTCAGGGCGTCCTCAGGACTCACATCAATCCATCCATCGCTCTGCTGAAGTCCTCGGGTGGACTCTGACTACGCGCAGGGTACAAATCCAGGCTCCGTTCTGACCGTCAGGGCAGTAGGCAAAGTGGCCCCGTCGCCCCTCCTGCTTTGACCCCGTCATTCATCCAAGCCATGTAGGCCTGAAAAATACTCCTTGGTGTAGTAGGCAGGGTCATTCCCGCCCCAGGGGCTTTGCGTCTCCTACAGAATGCGAGATGGTCCCCTGACTGCTTCTCCTTATCATTCGGGCCTCAGTTCACGGGTCTGACTCCCAAAGTAGCCTTTTCTGCCTGTTTTTGACGTGCACCTCCCCCCCCGCCCCTACTAGGCATGCCGAGCCCCACAAGTCTGCTTCCCCTCCTCGGCCGTGAGCCATCGCAGCGCCTTTCTCTCCACAACAGCAGCGCCTCCCCGTTGGCCGGGGCTCTACTGCTCAGCACAGAGCCCAGGGTCCAGGGCAGGGCCCGGCGTGTGGCTCCAGCCCAGGTGGGCCCGTCGAGTCCATGAGCGCAGAGGCTCATGAAGCCGTCTTCCCCGCGTGGTCCGTCTGTCGCGTCGTGGCATCGAGGGTTCTGTTGCCTGAGGCTGCTCAGCTCCGCTCCTTCCCTGGGCTGCAAAGTGGCCCCGCTTCCGCTTTCCGGCTCCCGCCTGAGGCCTGGCACTGCCTGGGTCAGACGATACCTGCATCGCCCGCCCGGGGAGCTCCCCAGCTCTGCACAGCGGGCTCCATGCGGAGCCCTCCCGACCTTCGCAACCCCCCCCCGGGGGGCTCCCAGCAAGATGCTTTTGTTCTTCCTACGACTTCACCGGGTTCCATGTCTGCTCCCCTGCGTTTCCTGGAATCTGCCTTTTCTTCTCTCTTCCTAAGAAGTTTTGCCGATCCTGGAGCCTCTCCCATGCTATTTGCTTTCTCCTTTGAGTTGGTTAAAAAAAAGAACAACAACAACAACAAAAAAAAAACACCGTAAAATCTGCCACAGTGAATCATTCAGGAGGTTTACCCCAGCTCCCAGATGCGGACAAAGGAAGAGGCCGGGATGGGTGCTGTGACCGCAGCAGCTGCCCCCACCTCCAGGAGTGACAGTTGCCCCACGGCCGCTCCGGACGCGAGCGCTGCGCGTGGTTTCTGCATTTGCCGCGGACGAGGTCGTGTAAAAATAAAGGCTATTGACTGGTTGGCACCCCTTCCCAGAAATAATGACTAAGCAAGCGCACTGCGAGCTCCCAGCAGTGGTTCTGTGTACACGATAACGCAGAGCAAAGATGAAAACTGCTATTCATCAGAGCCAGACAACAGAAAGATGCGGGCGGAGAATCGTCAGCGCCGCAAGAGGACACCCAAAACAAATAGTTTTCTCCCCGCCGTGGCATTCCAGACCGACGGCAAACGCGGTACCCGCACCAGGTGTCCGTGCAACGTGGCTCAATGTGAAGGTCCCCAGGCCCCGCACAGACCGGGCCTGAGTGGTGGGCGCTCTGCAGACGGACCTCCTGGCCGAGGCTGAGCTCCTGACCCGCGTGGCCAGAGCAGCAGGGGGTAGCGGCCAAGAGCTCAGTCCCTGGCACGGGGCAGAGGCAGACGGACACCCCTGCGGGTTAACGGGGACGACTCATCACGCACGTTGGCTGACTGGTCCAAGCTGCAGGTCCCGGGTCACCAAATAATAAGGCTGATTACCAGTTAGCTCTCCACGAGCTAACTCACCGGCCCGGCCCCACGCTACGTGCCGTCCACGCCAAAGTCTCCTTGTAATCCCCACAACAGCCCCA